ACTTCAAAGGGAGCGTTTGGCAAGCGGCACCACCTGCCAACATCACAAAGCATCAAGGCCAAGGCAATGTATATGGACCAGGCCAAGGCAATGTATATGGACCTGAACAGCCTCCACGGTAGTCAGTTGGCGGTGGTAAAAACACAGATCAACCACCTTTTTTTACCATCCCTTTGTGACCCCCGTGTGAACTTGGCCTTCAAGGAGAACATACAAAAAAAGCACTGCTCTTCCACGTCTGAGGAAAGGAATGAGCTGGGTGCTTGCCGCTGGGAGCACGTCCTCGTTCCAATATGAGCACATACAAACAGGAGAAAAGCAACTCGCACATGGAATGATCCGGTGTGCAGCCAGCTTTTCTTCTGTTTGAACTTGGCCTTCGTTTAAATGCCATAAATGTAGGCCTTCGTTTAAATGCCATAAATGTAGACCAAACTTGGCTTCCCCACAGCCTGGCTGAGAAACCAGCACTGGAAGTGATCCACCTCATCCTGCCTAGGATCTGAGACACCCCCATACATTAGACGCACCCCCAGTGTCACACAGCGTTCCCTCTCCTTGTTGTTACAGAAGCTGGATGCAGTGCTGCGAGCCAAAAAAATCATCACGTGTGAACAAAATAAATCAAAAGCTGTGAGATCAGCCAGCTATAAGAGAGCACCTTTCATCTTCATCCAGTAATAGAAAATGAAGGGAAACAGCCGACTGGTCAGTTGAGGCGACATCTCACTTGAGATGAGAACGGAGTTTGACAACTGAAGTGTGCTCAGAAGTATTCAATGTATACATAAAGTGGAAGCGCTGCCCACATTAAACAGTCATATGTTAAGTCCACATACACAATGCTGTATATAGCTTCAACATATAATCCAGCGCTGTACAACAAAGGAGGGGGCTGGGTGATTGTGTGCAGCACAAACACGAGACACAGACAATAAGTCCTCATCCCTGTAAAACGTGTTTGAGTGGGTGCGTCAGATTACATGGATCCTGCAAATACATAATGGAGCCATCTTGTCATATCACTCACTCTAATGGCATTCTAAGTGGAGGACATCAATCTATAGTTCCAGAGTCCATCTTGGACTAGATCTACTGACATCAGGTCTCAAAACATAATACAGTATAGTCTGCTGGTCTGTGAGTAATTTCACCATCAAGCCATACACACGATAGGACCCTCCCATCAGAAAACAGCATACAGACAGTGACATTCACATATTGTCAGACTACAAATGTTGTACAAATCCAAAACCGAAAGGCAATAGAAATACAGAGGAAAGCACAAAATAGCAATGCTTATAATCATATGGAAGCAAAGTGATCGGCCATACTGTTACTACAAAATTGTCTTCCATACTGTTCCTAAAAGTTGAAATTCAGGATAAGCAAATATTGTGTAAATACAAGAACCATGTGCATTCTAACTTGAATCTTGGTAGACTTTATGCATTTCTTCCAGATTTGTGAAGTAATCCAACATGAAACTTTGTCACTGTGCAGGAGCTTGCAAGGCTAGCACTCTGGCTGATACTCCTAAAAACCAAGGTATCTGGGAATGACAGCTATGTCAGAACCTGCTATCTTTATTTCCTCCATCATCTTTTTTGTGTGAACAAGACAGTTAACATGCGTCAGGGCTTAAAGCAAGCAGGTTTAACATTTGGGAAGCACATGGGTGCTGGAAGTGTCTGACAGCTGTTTGGACAGTATAATAGAACAAAACTTGCTGAAGGAGGACCTCTGGTGGCAAAACATGGACTAACCAAGAATTTCAAGCAGTAATGAGAAATGTGTGGACCACCAACAAAACCTCCCGACTAGATGAATATACATTGAATTGTAAACTGCCTATAACATCCACATAGTTATAACCTGTCACTCATCTCCACGTTTTAAAGGAAATTTAAGTTGCTGGTTGCCCATTCTGAAAACGCTAGCTGCCTGGCTGACGCTGGCTTTAATACTCTGTGAGCCACAAGAAAAATGTAGATAAGGACTTACAACTAGGACTTCTCTAATGTGTACACTTGTTTTAGGGCCTATTCACACCACATCCAGATCATCTTCAGACAAATAGTATTCAGACCCAAAATGCATCCTGATGTATCCCTATGCCATTTATGGCCTCTATTCACACCAGCGCAGTCCGTTATAGACCAGAAAAATACTGCTCGTCTTATTTTGTCTGGTCTGGAATGCACTGCATAGAAACACATCAAAACCGCATAGAAACACATCAAAACCGCATAGAAACGCACTTGAAAGCACCTGTAAGACTAGATTACGCTAAAAAAACAAAAACCTCCCCAAACGCAGCAAAATGAAATGCCCTGCATTCCAGATCTGGTCCTGAAAATGGTGTGAACCAGCCTCAGATCTCTGGTGCAACGCACTGAAGCCAGAGGACCAGTGTAACAACCAGGCAACCAGCATTTTCAGAAGCAGCTCCCATATTACTATTACAGCAGGTTTCCTTTCTGTTCCGGAATTTTCAGTACTGACCAAAGCACAATAAAAAAAAAGTCCTCATCTGCGCTGACCGTTCTGTTATTGTTCCTTTGTTAGTTATAAAGTACATAGAGGTCCTCAAACTGTACGGCACATGATGAACCTAGAGAAACAAAATCAGGTCAGCAGGACCAGTCATTGGAAATGACTTTAGAATGTGGTCAGCTTTACACCCCAGATAGACCAAGACCCACAACGTAGTGCAAAGGCTGACATTCCTGAGAACCCAAATTGTTATTCTAAATAGGGCCAGAGAAATGTGGCGGCATGACACCCAATGGGCCAATTCTAGCACAGAATTGCAATACACATAAGACCAAACAGATAAGAGCATATGGAAAAGTCAGCTAGCACCTGTATCAGTGGTCACCATGAAGACAAACAGGCCTCACATGAAACAGCCAAGGTCACCATAAAATAATGATAAGATGTGCAGACTGAAGGGGGAGGCAGTCTTCACTGCAGGTGTATGAAATGTTAGACACCAAGTTTTTTCAGGGAGAGAGCATGCAAGGACACACGTATAGATGACTTGCACGGTGGTACAGACTGTCTCTGGATGCCAGTATAAAATATGTACAGACACTTCTTGGTTTACAGCTCAATTAGAGATGTAAATGATATGCACCAGGGATATATAATTGCATCTGCTGACTAAAGCCTGAAGTATGAGGCCACTACACAGCTTGTGTTATCAGTAAAAACATAGACACGCCTCACACGGAAATGTCCAAGCACCCGGAATCTGTGTTACATGCTGGAGACCAACTGCATAGCAATTAACAAAGATCGGAAATACAGATTTAAGATTGGGAGAGATGACCCTGCAGCAGAATCTGTTACACAACAATATACGGGACAGTGAACTTGAATAGCATGGAAATAGCTGGTACTTCTGGGTATGGAGGGTATGCGATAGTGCTGGGACAATCAGCGCTGTCATATGGGAGTCTATAGGGACTTGTGGCTTACACAGGGATTTGCCTTTACTCACGAAGGCTAAACAAAGTAGCACAGGAGCGAAAGGAAGGCACACGTTTCCATGAGGGCCTGTGTCAACGGGCTTCTGTTCACCACAAATGGGTTTTGCTTTTATATATTCAAGTGTATGGGACTGCAACACCTGATTGAAGAAAGTCAAATGCACCTAATGAGGCCTCATACACGCGTCCATATTAGATTTACCCAGGATCTTTCCACCAGCAAGATCCTTCGGAAAAAGTTATCTATACAGCATCTGAACTTAAATGGCCATATCCCAGCTCATGTTCGTATTAGTCATGATGCGTACATACTGTGTCACAGGCGCAGAAAAACCTTGGCCTTTACTAATACAATGACAGAAGGCCGAGGACTTTCTGCACCTATGCTGTTGCCGCCGCTGACTGCGCATTGTTGATGTTTACATGTCTGCAGCACATGGAGGCCAATTAAGGTTGTGACATACTGCACGCAAAACAGCATGGATTGGTGGTGCGCTGCCTTCGCGTGCAGTGTGTCATGTCATTTTCACTCCGGCAAAGAAGGGCAGATATCTTATACTTCACCTCACATTGCCTAAACTTTCAACAAGACTGACTGACAGGCTGTGCTGTAAAGAGCCAACATCAAATCTCTTAGTGTATGGGATATTTTACATACATTCTTTAGAGGGACAATCAGCCGCTCTCTAGGCTTAGTAGCTCTTTAAACAAGAGTACATGATTTCCTCCTAACATGTAGAAGTGGCAGTGTACAGCCCTATCATTTTGGAGGTCGAGGAGCAACATCAATTAAACAATAAATCCTTCTCCTGGGACTAGCAGAGAAAGACACCTGGCTAACCACAGCATTCCTCTGGCTGGGGTGTCAGGACAGACATGCTACTTACATTGTCTCCTAACACTACCGGTAGGATGTCCCCTATTCTTCAAACTGGCTCACTTAAAGTACAGGAACATCACAATCTGATGTCCATTTCACTGCCCTGGACTACCATATGAAGCTAAACTGCAAAGCAAAGTCAAAGCTTCTAATGCTTTCTTACCACATACCTACAAGGAACTACTTTAAGAACATTGACTTTCAGTAGAAGTCTACATCTGCTTGCTCATTCACGATATTGCTCAGTCACAAAGGCAACTGTAAAACAATACTATAGCTTAGCTTCCCGTGCCGATATCATATTACCATGAGGAACACCCCGTAACCTAAAACATCAATGCTCCACATAGTCCACACTTCATATCTAGCAAATGAAACCGGCCACATTCACGCTACTGCTCACATGCACAGCAACATCTGCAGAGAATTCTGCTGTAAGACAGGTCCCAGGCCATGAAAAACACAGATGGTTAAGTTACACTGTATCACCTAAAGGGGCCCGCATTGTACCTCAGTAGGCCCCTCTGGCTGTCAGAGGTTTTCTGAGAAATGTACGAGTACACCAACATACGCTCAAGGGGAAAATATCACTGCAACAATGTCCAAACTGAAGAAAACTGGTGTACCTGGTGCAGCTTGACGTTCATTCCATTCACTTGCGATGAGAACTTCCAGAATCTGAGCGCTGTACTCTGGACCTTCAGAGCTGTGAAATAAGGAACAACATGGTTTAGATAGGAACAGCAGGTATAAATAAGTAACATATGAAAAATGCACAATAACAAATAAAAAAATCTAGATAACATACATTTCAAGTGGTCCAATCCAGTTTTAATCTCTTTTGTAAACTAGAAAACTTAAATGAATATAAGACTGAGAAGTTGAGGATTGTTATGCATGTGTAAGTATGTAGATATACACACACATACAGACACACCCGCACTGACAAATAAAACCTCATCTAAAATGAAAAGATTAATACTGCCTATGCTTTATACTATAGAAAAAGCAGAAGTGCAAAAGTGAACTTCATGTTCAAATCGTACAACTACACCAAATGTATAAATTGTACCTGTCCAAGGAAACTGTGCGTTCTCTATGAATAAATAGAAACCTATCAATAGATGACAACATAGAGGTTTTCCCCTGCAGCCACTGAGGAACCACAAGTCTCAATATGCCTTGGGATGGCTGCAGCTCCTTCCCCCACCCCCCCTAATAGACTAAGTGAGTTCTGCTCACCTTAGTAGCTGGTTCCTGAAGAGAAGTGGGCTGAAGATTTCTGCCAGCAATTTTGCACTGAGCAGGTTCTTGTTGGTGCTTTGACAGAGCAGAAAGAAATGTCTCAGCAGGTACTGAAGAGTGAGCCAGTACTGATTAGGAACGTTTGCAGACTGGATAATCTTCCTCAGCAGTTGTGCATAGTCATCAGAGTTTAAGGATTCTGCAGACAAAATAAGAATAGATGAATATTCCACTGTGTCCCCATACGTTGATTGTCACAATCCTGTATGTAGCTCCTGAAATGACTGACAGTGCAGACTGAATGCTGAGGAGAACTTGCATCGACGTGGTTCACACCACACGACCCAGGAGGTGTGATTGTTCCAACCCTTGCAGGTCATTGGCTATGGAACAGTACCTCCAGATCTTGTACTTATTTGAAGGTTATCAGATCGCTATCCTGTTTCTGCAGCATGTGACCGATCTTTAGGCTTGTGGGTTAACGCTACCACTTCCTACATTTTCTCTGTATGGACTTTGTGAAAAGATAAGGCTTCCGCAGAGCAGCAGGTGCCGATTCCTGCAGAGGCTGCTGAACCTGGGAACAACATGTCCTCCCCAAAGAGCTCGCATTTGCCAGCACAGATAAAAATGGTTAACAATTACCTCGCAGTGCGCGCAGACAGAAGGGCCTTCATATTGTTAAATATTACACAACTAGTTCTTCCAAAGAGCAAAAATTAAAGCGTGTGTGAACCTCCCGCCTATCAAGAAGGTACCAAAACTAAAGGAAAATAAACAAGTTGTTCAGCAATTACGCCACACAGACATACAAGCTTATTAAAGTCCGTAGAGTGCATCAGATCCCCCCCATAACCACTCAACTTCCATCTAGCTGCACACAGAGATAACAACTGATTGTTACTGCTAGTTATGCAATACAGATCAACACTTGTTTGCATAGGTTTACTGAATAAGCCTGGTCACCACCAATCACCTTACAGAATATAAGAGCAGAACAAGTCCGAACAAGGAAGAGGACAATCTTTTGGTACGGGTATATATGCATTTCTGGTCCAATCACCATTTGGAACCACAGAAATAAAATATTACTTCCAATATTTTAGTTTGCAACCAGATCCCTTAAAGACACACACCAAAAAAAAAAAAAAAATAGTTCTTGCCACTTAGGCTTAAAATCTTTCTTCTCTTTCACAGCTATGGCTGCATCTTCGACTACCAACACTTCCAAAGTGTGTTGGATGCCTGCATTACATGCCATGCACTGTGGATCGATCTGCTAGGTCATTAGTTTGTCCCTGGAACACAGTCATGATATAGTAGCTGGCAGGAGGAAGCACGCAATGCAGCGGGGAAAGCAGACATCTGACACACTAGGAAGTGTCAGATGCTGAAGAAGTTTTTGCTGGCAGACAAAGCTCTGCAAGAGAAGGAAGATCTGAAGCACAGGCTGAGGGATTTTTTAATCTGGTGAGTTGCTTTATGCCCCAATTCAGAGTAACATCCCACACTAAACATCAAATAAAATTTTAATGATACAAACGAGTAAAGGACCTTTCATGTCTTACCTCTTACAGCTGAAAGCATCTCATTGTAAGTAACTGCAGGAATGACTGGGTTTGGGAGATCCAACAGAAACCTCTTCAACGCATCACCCAGAGTCGGTAAGTCGAGATGCTCAACTTCGGCCCCAGCAGAATCTGGAACGTAAAATAATATATCAAACTCCAAAAAGGAAGACTTTAGCCATCAGCATCCCATGTGACTTTGAGGACGGACTGTCTCAACACCTTTTATTAACAGATTCCCAACAACCCCACATTCACTCCAACTTACTACACTGCTTTCACATACACGCCAGTTTTAGTTTTCAAAAGTATGCAAAAGTAACAGATTGTACAACTCAAAGCTTGCTGCAAAAGAGCGAGCAGCAAGGTTAGAAAAGCTGATTTTAACAAGTCTGTGTTTTGCCTGTAAATATTATGTATAGACAGACACAACACAATCTTATTCAGGGTGGGGAAAGCTGACTGGCAACTTCCAGGCAAGAGAGGCACAAAACATAGCTAAAGTATAAAAGAATGGAGGAGAAGAAAAATATACGGTACTAAAACTTCAAATAAAAAAAGGAATACAAGGAAGAAACTCTGAAAAGTAGTGTGAGATGACAGCGAAAAACAAAGCAAGGAACAGTTAAAACTTACAAACTTCAGCTAAAATATCTTTTAGTTTTGTTGCCACTTTTGTAGCCATTAGAGGTTTTTTCCTTCACTTCTTGTCAGATACTGTACAGGTTAGGGAGCACACTTATTAGAGGTGCCTTCCTTGTTGTGGCAGTGTGGTTTCTACATATGCTGGGGACCCCCTTTATATATCTAGTATGCTCCTTTATCCTTTTAGTATGCTGGGGACCCCCTTTATATGGCTAGTATGCTCCTTTATCCTTTTAGTATGCTGGGGACCCCCTTTATATGGCTAGTATGCTCCTTTATCCTTTTAGTATGCTGGGGACCCCCTTTATATGGCTAGTATGCTCCTTTTTTTTTAGTATTATGGGGACCCTCTTTATTTGGCTAGTATGCTCTTTTTAGTATGCTGGGGACCCTCTTTTTACTGCAGTTTGTGTTTTCATTTCCCATTTGATCTCCAGACAAAGTGAGGATAGACCTCGCCAACAAGCACTCGCATAGTAATAAACCTTAGAGGATATAACCCTTATCCATTCTTTTCAAAAGAATAAGCCTTTGTCTAACGTTTAAAAATACATGCAATCAAACTAAAATTTTTACGAATGACAAAATTGTTAATTAGAAATACAAGTGTTCTTAATCTAGATTTGATAAATAAGGTAAACTTTTGTTCATCTGATTGCACACAAAAGTTTGGATCAAAAGCGTTGAAAACAGCAAACTGAAAATGTCATGCTAGCAAAGAACGCCATCTGATACCGAAGTGAAAGCAATTACTGGATGGTCTGCAGCACCATCTACTGGCAGCAATGTCATCATCATGCTAAATTGCTGAAGGAGGGGGAAAAAAAAAAAGAAGACGATTTCCAAGGAGGACAGCTGGGCCTCACAAACTTTACCCATTAGGAAAACTAAATACAGGTGTCTTGCTCACATTTATAAACACATTTCCATCTCAAGAACTAGAAAGCTGCAGCCATAAAAACAACTCAATAGCTTGATACCAGGCCACACATGAGACCCGCACTGCTCTACATCATACCAGCTGCTATAAAAGGGTTTGTTCATTTGTTTAAAAAATAGCCTATGCAGTCAAGAAGCCCTGATAGGAACCAATAAACTAAGCAGCTTTTTAAACTTCTTCATTACTGTATCTTTCACAGCTGTAGGCAATTTGCGCCCCCCCGCCAGTAATACTCCCCAATATCCTGCATAGCTCAATTCTGCCCTTTTTACAGAAGGAGCCAGCTGTTGGCCGCTGTCCCCAAACATCACAGGTGCGAGCCCTGTCCTTGCTCAGAGCCCCATGCATGTGCAGTGCGTTGCATCTCCCATTACCGCAGCTGCAACAAAGGAGAGAGCGCACGGTGCGCGCATGGGGCTCTGAACATGACTTTGCTAGCTCCTGTGATGTTGGAGCTGAGCCCCATCAGTCCCACTTATGCTTCTTTTCAGCTGTTCCCCCTTTTTCGGTCTGATGTACAAGTGTATATACTATTCATTGAACCGCTAAATTATTAGGTTTGTCATTTTAAAACGCAGTAAGCAGCACTTGTAGGTTTAAACTAAGTTGGCAGGTTTGTAGCCTAACAAAAGCACAGCCCAACTATGGAAACCCATGTGTAGGGTGTGCACAGGTTTCCCACTTTCTAATTTGAGGGGAAATAAAAACCCTAAAAAACTAGTCAGTCAAACAGGTCCAACTTTCATCTGATTAATACAATTTACCAAGAACTAGTAGTACAAGGGTCAACCTAAAACACACAAAAAAGACCCTAGCACTAGATGCATGCTGGCAAGTTTTGTTCATCTGCTGTGTGCCAACGTAATTACCTACTTACTAATAGAACTTACCACATTCAATGATTTGACGGAGCTCAGGCACACTGCTGGCACTCTGGGTTCTGTACAACGCTGGGGATTCCAGACCTGAAAGAGAAAACATATGAAGCCTCCAATGTAAACTAGAACATTTCACTACAGGATAACGTCTGGTGCATTGGATTCCAGCAACAATAAAATAGCCAATTGAGCTTCTCAGACTGGAAATTGACAATCCTGTACACATAGCAAATATGAGCCAAGTTTCTACCATTACCCTAAATCACACAAGCAATCCCACTTTCATTATAAAAACACTGCATCTCAACAAGGGATGAAACTGCCAGATAGGTAGCAATGTCATAAGGATGCAAGCAGTTTGATTTTAGGCTCTGCGCAGATTCTAAGATAGGCAGTGATCCAGTTACAGGATCAAAAAATTGAATTCTGGGATATACCGCCTATTAAATCACAAAACCACTTGGAAAAAGTTTATAACATTTAAAAAACACAAAACAAACAACATTACTAGGATTGGGGGTTGGCAAATAAAATAAAAATCCCAATTTTAAGGAAACTTCCTTTAATCGAGAGCTGAACTATTAATATTTCTTCAGTGCAGGGCTGGACAGAAGGCAAGTCGCGTGTGCTCTTTAAAAATTACAGCTGGCGCCCACATTTTGAGGTTTTCCCTGGTTGTCAATGTTGCTGGCTCCTGGATTGGACAGACTGGCTCCTGAATTCCTGATTAATTTGCCCACCCCCGATTTAGTGATAAGCAGAATTACTACATCAGTTGGCAGGGGCTGCATCTGACAAACTAAAAATGTAACTAGTAACAAAAACTAGTCTAAAGTAATAATTATCGTCAACAGATATGACCGCTCTTGTATAGAAACGGATTACACAGACAAATCACGCAATGTGTAGAAGTAATATTTCCACACCAAGTTACTTATCGACTGCAGATGTCTAAAAATAACATTATTGTATAAGAAATGGTTTCTATTTTCATGTAATTCTAAGTCCAAAATACATAAAGTACATACAAAGTTTTGCTTCCTAGAAGTAGTGCTAGAATAAAGGAATACTTTGCAGCACTGCAAGAGTCCTAGTACAATCATTAAGTACACCGGCTAGCAGTGCTGAGCCATGAATAATCCCTGAACATACCTTTTCTTTCTATAGTCTCCACCAGCTTGACGAGGATCAGTGGGGCTGTCTCTGGTGGTGCAAATATCTCTGTCAAATCAGGCAGTGTGAAAGCTGCAAGAGAGGAAAAAAAAAAAGTCATTAGTTCCCAGCTTGAAACACGACATAGAAACCACAGTGTGCGAGTTAAAATTTAAACTCTGAGCAAACATTCGGTATTTGACATGTCTGAGCAAACGTTGCATTCATCGCTTCTGTCTACAAGGGAGGCTCAACAATTAGCAGGGCATACTGCAAAACGTTATCAGAAAGGAACGCAGCCAAGAGCCGTACGGATATCTAAAAGGTAGAGGGCGCCAAAGACAACGTTATGTATTGTGCAGAGAGAGAGACGATCTGCCGGCCTGAATTTTTGGGGGAACTGCTAGTTAATCATCATGCAGAAAAGCATGCCAACCTCTATCGGCGAATGTATATTAGCTGATATGGTAGTGTGCTTTTTGGACACAACACAGATTTTATTTATTTAAAAATCAAAAGAGCAAAAAGTTAGCTATTTTGTTTTTTAACATTTAACCACAAAAACATTTCTAGTGACCTGGCTTTTATTATGCTTTGTAACATTTTAGTTCACATTTCAGCAGCCCATAGTCATGCGCTACAGTATCGAACCATACAACCGTAAGATTTCCCAGATCACCACACATCTCAAATATTTACTTAAAAGCAGATCACAAGGGAAGAAAATCGAGCGCCTTTTTTCCCCCTGCGTACCGAAGGGGACTGGTTAAATTATTGAAAAGGATGTTTACAGAAGGGCTGATCGCTGCTGAGCAGCTGGCAAAGACATCTGTTTTCTTATAAACTCCCATTCATTCCAAGACTTAGCAAGACGGCGGCCATGTTTGAGCAGAAATATGTTCCAGCCGTGCCCAGCTTCAGCAGCAAAACTCAAAAACTGCTGATTGTGGAGGAGCGCGCCGACTCGATCCAACATAAACATGACTTGAACAGGAAAAGCTCTTACAAGCTTTCAGGCTGAAAAGATGCATTATAACTTGTGCACAGCTGTAGCAACAAGAGCCGGAGAAGCTAAAGAGCGGGATTACTCAGTCCGGTACTTGAAGGCTAAACTCTGCACTGTGGCGTGTTTAAAGTGAAGCGACCCCAGAGGATGGCATTTTCCCCCCGGCAAGTTTAGATGGGGTCTTTTTGACGGTTGTAACGTCCTGGTGTGCAAATTGTGCTGTCTCTCCATACTGATCTTTGCAATATGCACAATGAGTTTGACTTACTAAAAGGAGTAGTGCCTGTTCACTCCAGGTGAAAAAGGTGAAGCTGTGTTCACTTTGAATACCCAATCATGTGCTAGGAAAAAAAAAAAATCGACACTGTCTATCTATCCATCGATAGATATTCGCTTCATATCCAGCTGTAATATGTGTGACTTCAATTACCCAGTCTGAAGGAGGGGAAAAGAGAAGTGAACAAAAATTGAGTTAATAGTAACCAATCAGGCTTAAAAAAAATTCTGATTGCTTGCAAAGGGTTCTCTTATACTTTTTGTTTTAAAAAAATAAATCTGGTGAGCCTGCCATAAAAGGTTCCTGATCAGATACTTCCTATTCTATAGTGACAACACCCTACCCCTATATCCCAATTGGTTAGGCCTGGTTCACACTGAGGGACCACCGTTTTTGCATGTATGCGCGTGAGCAGCATGCGGTTATTTGTGCGTTATTACACACATTTTGACTGGCAGCTCGTGAAACATTGCAGGCAATTGAAGAACAAGTGTTTAAACGCACTAAAAAGCGCACACAAATTTGCAACATGCTTCTGCTGCGCATTTTTTGGGCATTTCCATTCAAGTCTATGGGGCATAAACGCGCTTTAAACAACCCAAAGAAGCTCATTTACCTTTTTGGGCGTTTGGCTTTTTCCTGCTCAGGTGTGAACCAGGGCCATTGAAAACCATGGGATTTCTTTTCTTGTGTTGGGGATTTAAAAGCGCTTTTCCAACTGCTCAAAAACTCCTAGGTGTGAACCAGGCCTTAAGTGTTGTCGTCATCTTATGCGCTCTCCTGGTCGAGACTACAAGTGGCCGTGCCGATACATATTGCAGTCCTGGTCCACTGTTGTCACCATTAGGACACCTGCACTGAGAAATGCCATACAACCAATGATGGAGAACATGCATATAAGGTTGCTGATAAAACACTGCGAACAAAGGATTCAAAAAATGCCATTGTTTATGAAGCACATTGCATTGAAACTCTGCTATGGCTTTATATCTACTTTTAATCAAAGAAACCAATTGGGAACAACGTACGCCGCTACAATACCTAGACAGAAAACTCCATTCAGCTTACCACAGACCTGGGAGGAACGCAACTAAACCTGCGCCAAACCTGGCCGCATTATTAAAAATTCCAAATCGCCAGTTGCTCGAAAAGATATTTTCAAATGACTTGCTTCCTTTGTCCTGTAACCCATTTAATAACTTAGGCATCCAAACGAAACAAAACCAAAGCCCCATAAAGAAAAAGCATTCATTATACTGACAGGAGACGAGAACAATTAATCCTCTGCTTACAGGAATTAAACAATAACCCCTCTTAATCCGGTACAATTTACAGGCAAGCAGCTACCTCGGACCATATTGCAAGCTTTTAATCTTTCTGCTCTCACAGGCCGCTGAGACTTGCATAATCAGCACTGGAGTGAAGGGCAAAGCGCACCCAGAGCTTCCCTTCAAAGATGAATTCCTTGAAGGAGAAACGCATATAGATATAAAACATGGCCACATGGCTGGCTGGAATTTCCACAGAATTTCCACAAGTGGAACCTATTCAGCTTTGAAGATTACGAGACTGGGGGCCCATATATTATCAGCCAATGCAATAAATGTCCAGTTCCATAAACTATTCAGAATCTGTTTTCTTAACCCATCGTTGACAATTACCATAGCATTGTACCAATTGAGCACTGTACCAGTGTAGCATTACCAATGCAATACAGTTGCAGATTGACATGGTAAAAAGTAAGCATCCTACAGACCACTTGAGAGGCTATAAAAGCACTCAAAGTTCCTGAACACCTCACTTCCACAAAGGCATTCATTATAAAGTAAAAGAAAAAGGCGGTACATCTATGGGCTAAAACTATCATTGGCTGGATCAAAACCAAAGTGCAACCATTTTGGGGAAAGCATTTTATTTGATGCTGAATTCGGAACACAATAAACTCTTGTTATGCAACCGTGGACCACCCTTAAGGTTTTGCATTCACCAATTTACTACATGCCAAGACAATATGTGCTTTAATCCACAAATTATTCTGAACCTTTTAGCAACCAGAGATGATGAAAACTGAATTCTGCAAGCTTACATCATACCTCAATACTAATATATTATATAACGCCCTGTTATATAAATTCGATGTTAAACCTCCAAAAAATAGATGTACTAAACTGGATTTATTTAGACACAGGAAAATGGACATCAAGTAAAATATGAATCTGCTCTAAAAGGTTTCTTCATGCAAAACTGCTTTTTAGTTTTAAAAACATTAAATAAAATTTTGGCATAACAGAACCAAGTATGACAATCCATGACAAGCAACCAATCAGAAATAAAATCCAACTGCCGGAGACTAAACCGTGCCTGGTCTCTGCTGTGCACTTGGCATACCACTAGCACTCTATGCACTGCCGCACGAAATATGTCCCATCAGATATACCTACATGCAATGGGATAGGAGTCCCATCAGATATACCTACATGCAATGTAGGGGATAGGAGTCCCATCAGATATACCTACATGCAATGTAAGGGGATAGGAGTCCCATCAGATATACCTACATGCAATGTAAGGGGATAGGAGTCCCATCAGATATACCTACATGCAATGTAAGGGGATAGGAGTCCCATCAGATACACCTACAACTAATGTACGGGATACGAGTCCTATCAGGTATACCTACATACAATGTAGGGGATACGAGTCCCATCAGATATACCTACATACAATGTAGGGGATACGAGTCCCATCAGATATACCTACATACAATGTAGGGGATACGAGTCCCATCAGATATACCTACATACAATGTAGGGGATACGAGTCCCATCAGATATACATACAATGTAGGGGATAAGAGTCCCATCAAATATACCTACATACAATGTAGGGGATACGAGTCCCATCAGATATACCTACATACAATGTAGGGGATACGAGTCCCATCAGATATACCTACATACAATGTAGGGGATACGAGTCCCATCAGATATACATACAATGTAGGGGATATGAAGTATAGCAGTGGAGCATTCGCAGCACTGTAATACTGGCAACAGAACAACTCTATACTGTCTTGAACGCCTTTCCCCTCCCCACCCCATGAAAAGCATGGAAGTGCTCAAAAAGCTGCATTTCAAAGTCTCCAGGCAGGAGTATGGGTTGTGAAAATAACTGTCTGCATCTCATTGCTAGCTGTAAATGCTAATCCTGGATTCTGGAATGGATTGTGAATAGTGCCTTTTCATTTGGAGCAAAAAAGAAAAAAAAAGGAGGCCATTAAAAATACAGAAGTCCACAGCATAAACAACATGTCCGCAATGCAGGAAGGGGAAGCCGGAACTGGTGTGACACAGCGTTTACTTTTTAGCTATTTCTTTAAAGCTCCTCTGCTGATTCCTCTAGTATAAGACTGACATGAGCCAGGACTTGAAGGAGGCTCCCTGCAAAATGGCACCGAGCAGTGGCACACAACGAAAATCGAGCAAAAACATCTTATACCTGCCAACAAAATTTTAGCTTGCTTGGCGTTTTGGAAGATCGCCTGAAGCTTCGGTGCACCGAATCCTCCTTTGAGAAACTTTGCCACTTTGTTGATTCCTTTGCTGCAGTCCACAATCAGCTTTTCGCTTAGGGCAATCATTTTCCAAAGCTCGGTGGCGTTCTTCAATCAAGGGGACACCACCAGTGCCTGAGCACAATTAGGAGCTCCTTGCTCAGCGCGTTGGATCAGTGTGAGCCGTCAATGTTGCAGCAGGTAGTAGAAGCCCATCTATGACATGTCACCCACGCAGCATTTTCCACTAAATCTAT